TCCACTAGCATTGCAACAAAACATGAGAGTTAGTCTGTCTTTCATAGGCTTGTGTCCTGGGAGTGCCTTTTCCTCCTGAGTAATGTAGGTCCTGTTTGGCATTTTCTTCCAGAACAGGCCTGTTTCGTCACAATTGAACACTTGTTGGGGGATAAATTTTTCAGCTTCGCCACACCTTATTGCACTGTGTATGCCACTACAATTCTTAAATCTCTCAAAGCAACCTTTGCTGGCCTTAAATTCACCAATATGAGCACTAGTTCCAGGCATTTTTTCCTGTTCACCTGGGTGTTAGTTGACTTGTGGGTCGCATCCTGGGGGACAAGATTAAGGACCCCAATGGAAATAAGTTACAGTCCTCGATGATGCACTGACTTTCTTGGGTTATCCTGGGTGGCTAACCCTCTGGGGTTAATCGTTTCTCGGTAATTGTTTCACGTTAAGCCACACCAACAACACTCCACATCTTTGAGTAGTACAGCTGATGGTGGTGCAGCAACAGCTGACTGTGGTGAAGCAACAGCTGACTGTGGTGAAGCAACAGCTGACCGTGGTGCAGCAGCAGCTGACCGTGGTGCAGCAGCAGCTGACTGGTCCAGCAACAGCTGACTGTGGTGCAGCAGCAGCTGACTGATCCAGCAACAGCTGACTGGTCCAGCAACAGCTGACCGTGGTGCAGCAACAGCTGACTGATGCAGCAACAGCTGACTGGTCCAGCAACAGCTGACCGTGGTGCAGCAACAGCTGACTGATCCAGCAACAGCTGACCGTGGTGCAGCAACAGCTGACTGATCCAGCAACAGCTGACTGGTCCAGCAACAGCTGACCATGGTGCAGCAGCAGCTGACTGTGGAACGATAGTATTTATCACCCTTTTTACCACAGGGTTGGCACTAGAAGTTTTCTTTGGGCCCATGGTGACTTATTTAGCAGTTACAAGCACTATAAATAATGGAATAATACAAAATGTATCGAATGTATGCATGCAACCGGCCACCCTGGCTTGTAAACAATGACAGCAAGGCAGCCGAGACGTTCAGGCTAGGCGGACAGGTTCGGGACGAGTCATGTTCAGAAACAGCTGATGGTGGTGCAACAGCAGCTGACCGTGGTGCAGCAGCAGCTGACTGGTCCAGCAACTGACTGATCCAGCATCAGCTGACTGGTCCAGCAACAGCTGACTGGTCCAGCAACAGCTGACTGTGGTGCAGCAACAGCTGACTGATCCAGCAACAGCTGACTGGTCCAGCAACAGCTGACCATGGTGCAGCAACAGCTGACTGATCCAGCAACAGCTGACTGGTCCAGCAACAGCTGACTGTGGTGCAGCAACAGTTGACTGATCCAGCAACAGCTGACTGATCCAGCAACAGCTGACTGATCCAGCAACAGCTGACTGGTCCAGCAACAGCTGACCGTGGTGCAGCACCAGCTGACTGATCCAGCAGCATCTGACCATGGTGCAGCAGCAGCTGACTGATCCAGCAACAGCTGACTGGTCCAGCAACAGCTGACTGTGGTGCAGCAACAGCTGACTGATCCAGCAACAGCTGACCATGGTGCAGCAACAGTTGACTGATCCAGCAACAGCTGACTGGTCCAGCAACAGCTGACTGTGGTGCAGCAACAGTTGACTAATCCAGCTGTTGGTCCAGCAACAGCTGACCGTGTTGCAGCAACAGCTGACGGTGGTGCAGCAGCAGCTGACTGTGGAACGATAGTATTTATCACCCTTTTTACCACAGGGTTGGCACTAGAAGCTTTCTTTTGGGCCCATGGTGACTTATTTAGCAGTTACAAGCACTATAAATAATGGAATAATACAAAATGTATTGAATGTATGCATGCAACCGGCCAACCTGGCTTGTAAACAATGACAGCAAGGCAGCTGAGACGTTCAGGCTAGACGGACAGGTTCGGGACGAGTCATGTTGTTCAGAAACAGCTGATGGTGGTGCAACAGCAGCTGACCGTGGTGCAGCAGCAGCTGACTGATCCAGCAACAGCTGACTGATCCAGCAACAGCTGACTGGTCCAGCAACTGACTGATGCAGCAGCAGCTGACTGATCCAGCAACAGCAGACTGGTCCAGCAACAGCTGACCGTGGTGCAGCAGCAGCAGCTGACTGGTCCAGCAACAGCTGACCGTGGTGCAGCAGCAGCAGCTGACTGATCCAGCAACAGCTGACTGGTCCAGCAGCAGCTGACTGGTCCAGCAGCAGCTGACTGTGGTGCAGCAACAGCTGACTGGTCCAGCAACAGCTGACTGTGGTGCAGCAACAGCTGACTGATCCAGCAACAGCTGACTGTGGTGCAGCAGCAGCTGACTGTGGATTGATAGTATTTATCACCCTTTTTACCACAGGGTTGGCACTAGAAGCTTTGGGCCCATGGTAGCTTATTTAGCAGTTACAAGCACTATAAACAATGGAATAATACAAAATGTATCGAATGTATGCATGCAACTGGCCACCCTGGCTTGTAAACAATGCCACCGGTGGAACAAGTGAGGCTGGCTCAGGCCGCACATGGACGCGTCTCGGACGAATCGCATTGAGCGAGTTTTTTAGCGCTAGGTGAGGCAAAATTTTTGCGTTAAAATGTATCGTTAGGCGGATTTGACGTTATGTGATGCCAACGTTAGGCGAGGGTCCACTGTATTAGGTACTCAAATTGTACTCAAATTGTCAGAAACACACTTACAGGTGGACATTTACACCTGCCTTAGCCATTTACTATTGTCTTGAAATACATATATACAAAGTATTTATATGTCCCAGCAATGTTTTGGATATGTGGAAGTATATAATAAACAATGAGGAGGAGGAGGAAGAGGAGTAGTAGAAAGATGAAGAGGAGGAGGAGATGAAGGAGGAGGAGGGGGAGGAAGAGAAGGAGGAGGAGGAGAAGAATAATACGTAATAATAATAATAGGTAATAAGTTCCCTTGAAGCATGAAAAACAAAGTCCACCCCTGACAGTGACATGATAAGATGAGATAATTGATAAGAGCTGATGTTTGATGAGCATACATGAGGGTGAGGGAGGGTGCAGCTGATAAGAAAAGATTAGATGTGATATTTGATGAGCATTGCCCTCACTTTGTTTTCGCTGGTACACAAACATGTCTGTTTATTTGTCTGTCTGTCAAGCTCCCTGTCTATCTGTCTATCCGTCTAGCTCTCTGTCTCAGAGAGAGCCACAAGACTGTGTCGTCATCACGTTTACTCACATCTTCAAGCAGAGTATAGCACTTTGTCTGGATTTTTTGGGTTATCCTAAGTAATTTACACTATGTATACTTTTATTTATATGTACCTGTGAGACAGAGATAGACAGAAAGAGAGAGAGATTGAAAGAGATACAGAGATAGACAAAGACAGAGACAGATAGACAGAGATGGACACAGACAGAGACAGAGGTAGACAGAGATAGACAGACCCTGAACTTGGGGTTAACATGACTTTCAGTGAATCTTTGGTATTTGCTGCACTGTTTGCTCTTGCTGGCGCTCAGTTTAACTGGCACTCCCACAAGGTACTAAGTGGTCCCAGATTTTTTTAATACCGTGCACACTGAGTGTTAGGGCCCACTCTATGCTGACAAGGCATCTCAGGCCAATTGTGCCAAATTTGAAGGCAGGAAAAATAAAACGTATATATACGTTTGGGGCACTACGCGTAAGAATGTATATATACGCTTGGACTGTTTAAGGGTTAAGATAAGCCTGACATGTTGTGTAAAGATCATGAATGACTATTGAGATTCCTGAAGACTTCACTTAGATTTGCCAGAAGAGCTTTGGCTGTAGGGGTTATTCAGTTGATCTGAGCCTATGGCAATATGCTAGACACATTGCTCACCTGAGGTCTTTCTCTCTGAGTGATGTCTGTAGCCTCTGTGCTTCCCTTCCAATCATATCTCACCTTGTTGTCCTCTCCTCTCAGCTCATCAAGCTCTGTTCCTTCAACCTTTCCAATTTGTGCAATCCTCTCGGTTCTGATACTAGCTTTGTTCCAAATCTTTGGGCCTTTTCCAGTTTCTTCACATTCTTGACCAGGTGTGGGCTCCATGTGCTCAGTGATTGGCCTAACATGTGTCATATACTAGGTTCTGAAGGATTCACTATTCAAGTTCCTAAATGCTATTCTGAGTTTTGCCAGTCTTATATACACCACTGATGCTATATGGTTTGTGTGTATTTCTGACATTATGCTTGGTGTTTTACTTACCACTATTTCCTTTTCGCCTTTCTCGGCCCATGCTATACTCTTTTTTGTCTGCCCTCGCCCTCTACTTCACAAACCTTGCATTTGTTCAGGTTGAATATGGGAAACAATTTATTTGACCAAATCTAGTCTATTGAGGTTTTCCTGTAGTTTTTAACAATCCTTTCCTGTTCTTACTCTTCTCATTAGTTTCATATCATCTGCAGAGAGAGAGAGAGAGTGCTCAATCTCCTCTGGTAGGTCATTAACATACATTGGGAACAGTAGTGTCCTAGTACTAATCCCTGCAGAACCTCACTCATTACTCTTCCATTCTGATATCTCGTCCTTTCTGCCTTCTTTCATTCAGGTACTTTCTGACTCATTTTAGCACTCAGGTTTTTAATTCTGCCTGTTCCTTTAATTTCTGGATTGATCTTGGGTCTGTATAGTCAGAATTTTTTTACTTAAACTTGGTTGATCATTCTTCTCTCAGTTGGTAATGCCATATCCTTGGGTGTGCTCTGTAATGGAACAGCAAATAAGAACTGGATAAATATGCATTATTCCCATGGAGAAGTGGGTTAGAATTGTTCCTCCGCAAGCCATGCGTGTCTTAAAAAAATAAAGTAAGCATTACCATTTTATTGAGATTGTGCTTGATTGCTCTGTGCTTTTTTTTTTTTTTTTTATATTTTTATGCTTACATATATTGAATGTCTTAAAATCTTCCTCTTAGCCAGTTTAAATATTTAAATTTCAGCAACATTTTTATTGTGTTCATACTTGCAGCAATGGTGTAAGTGGGGACGATGATGAGTGGGATTACAGTGATCGAATGGTCGACCCCAACAAGCCAGGTGTGCCAGTCAGAGCGCTTTATGATTACGAGGGTGTTGAAGCAGATGAATTATCATTTAAAGTTGGTAAGAAGTAATAGTAGCTTGTTTGATAATATGTGTAGCTAAAAATGTTTTGTGCTTATGTTAATGGAAAATTTTATGAGAACTTTTCATTCTCCATTAATAGAGCGGATCATTGAAGCAATGCACTACACTAGTTTGAGTAGCTATATAGTTATGTATTGGTGATAGTATGTACACAGGTTTTCCATACAGGTGGAAGTCAGAGGCAATACCAGACTGCTCAGTATTATGCCAAATATTATTCATTATGGAGTATTTACCATGTTTCTGTGTTTTTTATATTGTTTATGCCATATTAGATCAATTGTGATAGGTAAATCAGCCATAGCACTGATATTAGTGTAATAATAAGGTACATTCCCTCGCATCACGAGACTCAGGAATTCCTGCTGTTGTAAGCAAATGTTTGCAGACGGTTCCTGATTGGCTCTCCAACTCCAAAATAGTTCCACCCACTCTTTTATGATGCTAAATCTTGAATTATTATACTAGAAAGAATAATAAAAGAAATAAATGAAAACGGAAAAAAATTGGCACATGCGAAAAAATGGTGTGGAATGTGAAAATTGGAGCGGCACCTGATTGTATTCATGACCGAATGCAAAAATTTAACAATTTTTTTGGTTGCGAACCAATTTGTTAGTGTTTGGAAGTGCTCATGACCAGAGGTTCCACTGTATATATATTAAATGCAATAATCATGAACAAACAATAAAAGATACAATATGCATATGTCACATACAGGAAGGCTTTGCTTATACAGTAGGTTACATTCCAGGCTAATGCTATAAAACAAAAATTGCTGTAAAGTGAAACAGCCCTTTTTTTTTTTTTCACTTTACATATAAAAGTCAGATGACATGTTTACACTATCATATATTAACCCTTTCAGGGTTCGTGCCGTAGATCTACGGCTTTACGTTGAGGGTCCAAACTGTAGATCTACGCCACGAGCTCAGCTCACTCTGATAAGCTGTGAGCGGTAAATTTGGACCTAGATATGAGAGAATACCTCTGTCAGTGGTTCCCAAACTTTTTCAGCTTGTTACCCAATTTAACATGCCACATAAAGCATGTTACCCCTTTCACAAAATGTTGTTATTATTGATATATATGGCTAAACGTGAACGTATACAGCCTCGCATGCTCTGCTAATCCTAGCAAAACCATTGAAAACGTAAGAACCACACATACATTATATATAAAATTAATAATAGCTACAAATTCACAGTAACAGTGGGTAAATACTAACTATATACTGCACAGGGCAGTACACATACATACCAGCTTATGTCTACCTGGCTGATGCTCACGATAAACTGACAGTGTGAAATAGAGGCAGCCTCAGGAAGTGAGTGACGTCGTACTGGACAGGTCGATCTGGGCTACTGAGTGACTTTTGTCCTGAAGCATACTGTCAAAATACTTTTGGGTTTCCACACCTTAGCTATATATTTCTCCTTTTCTAATACTGTATATTAGTTTTTGATGTTTATTGTTATTTGGTTTAACTTTATTACTTACTTATAATAGGTTTACTTTACAACTTTATATACTAAGACAAAGTTAACAATAATCCTCATACCGGGTACTGCATTGTTTTCTTGATTTTCAGAATTCATAACTTTTTTTCTGTCACCCCTCCATTACCCCCCAAAAATGGTTAAATTACCCCCAGGGGGTAATTTACCCCCTAGTTTGGGAACCACTGCAAGTCTATGTGGTATGTGTGCACCACATAAAACAAATCCTGCAGCACACAGTGCATAATGAGAGAAAAAACTGAGATGCAGTGATGGATTTAACCCTTTGACTGTCGCGGCTGTATATATACGTCTTATGAAGTATCGTGTTTGATGTATATATACTCATAAATTCTAGGGGCTTCAAATCAAGAAGGAGAAAGCTGGTAGGCCCACATGTGAGAGAATGGGTCTGTGTGGTCAGTGTGCACCATATAAAAAAAATCCTGGAGCACGCAGTGCATAATGAGAAAAAAAACTCAGACCGTTTTTTTTTTAATTAATATGCCGAATTTGTGGTCTATTTTCGTATAGTATTTATGGTTGTATTCTCGTTTTCTTGGTCTCATTTGATAGAATGAAAAACATATTATAGGAATAGAGTGATTTTGATTGATTTTACTATAAAAAGAACGTGGAAATGGAGCTCAAAGTAGGGGAAATGTTTGATTTTTGCCAATGTTCAAAAGTAAACAAATGATGTCATTGTCCAATAAATGTCCAACTAGCCATTCTAATATGCAGTCATGAATGAGTTGATGTTATTTATACAATTATTACAGTATTGCAGTAGTCTGCATAATAGTAAATCTTCTATTTTTTGTTTGAATAAAAATTAAAAATAGAAAGCAAGAGTAATATCAGAGGGGCCTGGAGACATGACTGATGAACAAAGAAAATGTTATTTTAGAGCCAGGAATGTCTGCATTGTTCATTCTGGACCTTATTTTGAAATTGTCATATTTTTTAATTTTCGTGAAATTGGCCAAATTGCAAATTTCTGACCACGTTATTGGGTAGTTGAAATTGGTAAATGGGCAGTTTCTTGTACTCAGTCGATAGAAAAAACGGAGTTCTAAAGAAATAGCCACGATTTTGGTCGACTGGAACAATGGAATTAGCCGAAAATAGGGCTCAAAGTGGGCAAAATCGCCGATTTGTAAATATTGCCGAGGTCACTAACTTCGCGAGAGAGTAATTCCGTCAGTTTTCCATCAAATTTTTTTTTTTTTTTTTTGGTGTCATTACAATCGGGAAAAGATTCTCTATCATTTCATAAGAAAAAACAATTTTTTTTTTTTTAAATTTTGCGACACCAGGAGACACCTCAGGATTGGGGGTTGCAACAGTCAAGGGGTTAAATTAGACAAGTTTAGATTTAGAAAGGATATAGGAAAGTATTGGTTTGGAAATAGGGTAGTTGATGAGTGGAACAGTCTACCTAGTTGGGTTATTGAGGCTAGGACTTTGGGTAGTTTCCAATTTAGGTTGGATAAATATATGAGTGAGGGGTTGGATTTGAGTGGGACTTGCAAATGAGTGGATCGAGTTATCAGAGCTTATTTTTTGGGTAGCATTGAAAATTAGGTTGGGCAAATGTTTTGTTTGTGGGATGGAATGTAAAGGACCTGCCTAGTATGGGCCAACAGGCCTGCTGCAGTGATCCTCCTTTCTTATGTTCTTATGTTCATAATTTTCGATTAAAACAGCGACTTTGCAGGTTTTTTCGTATGTTTCTTATAGTTGTGTTTGCGATTTCTTGGTCTCATTTGATAGAATGGAAGATGTATTACAGAAATAGAGATGATTTTGATTGGTTTTAGTACCGGAAATGGCTTGAAACTGAGCTCAAAGTAGCAGAAATGTTAAATTTTTACCGATGTTCAAGAGTAAACAAATGACCTCACACGTCTAATACACGCCAGCTGGTGGGTCTAATGTACGTTCACAGATGTGGTGATATTATTTATATAATTATTACAGTATTGCATAACAGTAAATCTTCTATTTTTGGTTTGAATAAAAATTCATTATGTGAATAAAAAATAAAAATGGAATTCATTTCTAAAGCCTGAAAACATAACTAATGAACAGAGGAAATGTTAGTTTAGTGTCAGGAATGCCTGCGTTGTTTATTCTGGACCCTATTTTGAAACTGGAATATTTTGAATTTTGCATTAAATTGGCCAAATTACCAGTTTCTGATCACTTTATTTTGTAGTTGAAACAGTTGACTTGGCAATTTCTTGTGCTCAATCGATAGAATATAAGTAATACTAGTGAAATAGCTAAGAATTTGGCCGACTGGAATAATGTAATTGGCCTAAAATGGGAGTCAAAATTGGCAAAATTGCCGCTGCGTAAATATCGTTGACACATCAAAATTTGCGAGATCATAATTTTGTCAATTTTCCATCAAATTTCATACTTTTTGTTTTATGACCTTCAGAAAAAGATTCTCTACCATTTCATAAGAAAAAATAACAAAATTATTTTTTTAAAATTCTTGGACACTGGTGCACACTTTGAAATTTGGCCTCTGGACACTGAAAAGATTAAGTGAGAAATAGAGTCTCAAAGTCTCCAAGACTGCATATTTGTACAAATTTGTACTTTATTGTGCACCCCATAGTACAAGATAGAAATGCAGCAGCACTTGGAAGAGGAAAAAGAGGAAAATGGAAGAAGTTCACAGTAAAGGGGTTAGCTGGTGTGTTCTTCTGTGTGTTAACATTCTCTCTCTCTTGTGGCATCTTAAGAAATGATTAAACTCATTGAACAAAGTATGTCAGTGGTGGTATAATAATAATAAATAATAATAATTGCCCTGGAGCGCTTTAAATGTCATACATATGTCGTATAGGTTTGGTAGCTGACATTTAAAGCACTCAGAGCAATTGTTATTAACCCTTTGAGGGTCGACAGGCCCTCTCCGAAACTCGTTCTCAGGGTCGGCCAAATTTAAAAAAAAAAAAAAATTATTTTCTCTTATGAAAAGATAGAGAATCTTTTCCAGATCATAGACACCAAAAGTTTGAAATTTGATAGAAAACTTACGGAATTATGCTCTCGCAAAGTTAGCGGTCTCGGCGATGTTTACGCATCGGCGATTTTGCCACTTTGAGCCCCATTTTCGGCCAATTTCACTGTACTAGTCGACAAAAAACATGAATATTTCGCTAGAACTCCATTTTTTCTATCGAATGGATGCAAGAAACCACTCATTTATGAAATTCAACTACCAGTACAGTGGTCAGAATTTAGCAATTTTGCCAATTTCACACAAATTTCAAAAGATGCCAATTTCAGAATAGGGTCCAGAATAAACAAGAAAGACATTCCTGGCACTTAAAATGACATTTCCTCTAGTCATTAGTCATGTCTCAAGGCCCTCTTATATTCTTTTGCTTTCCACTTTGAATTTTTATTTTCACAAAAAATATAAGATTTACTGTTATGCAGACTACTGCATTAGTGTAAAAAATGGTATAAATATTATTGGT